CTGTCCAGTTTGGCCAATGTACATGGTAGAGGGGCACTGCTAGCACATATAACATTAGTAGATGTGCAGGTGAATGAGTCCTTGATGGTGTGGCTGGCTCATTACAAAAGCAGCTTTGCCTCTCCTGGAATTGACACCTTCTCATCTGTTATTGGGAGTGGACTACAGGCCCTGTCAACACTGGTTCTCCACTTGTGAGGTACTCCCTTCTCTTCATGTGTCGTTATATAATGCCTGCATCCGTAACTTTCACTCCATGCATCTGAAGAAGTGAGGTTTTTTATCCATGAAAGCTTATGCCCAAATAAATCTGTTAGTCTTTAAGGTGCCACCGGACTACTTGTTGTTTTTGTGGATACAGACTAACACGGCTACCCCCTGATACTTGCCTTCCATTCTCATCATTCAATGAGACAGTGACAAGGGTGCTGATGCAGCTAGAAATATCAAGGATAACCCTGAAGACCCAGAAAGCAGCCAAAAACTATTGATACACAGAAGAGGAGGAGGATCAGGCTGCAGAAGCCCTTACGGAGGACCCTGAAGATGGACTGGTGCCTCGGCAAGGTGCAGAACCTCAGGCTGGTAAGTTAATAATGCAAGCCACTCCTTCCCTCCAAAATATTCCCCTCTTTTTGTAGTGCAAAGTTTGCATTTTTAAAAACAAGGATATTTGAAATTATGTGCAATTATTTTTCTTCCCTTGATAATATGCCAAGCATTGCTCTGTGTGTTACTGTGTGCGAGGAATAATGCTGAAGCCATGCCACTGTCACGGCCCATCTCCATACCACCTCCTCCACCTTTTTCCCCCTGATCAGTTTCTGTCCCAACCCCAAAATGCACCTACAGGGGGAAAAAAATCGTAAACATTAAGTTTACTGTTTTCCAAAGATCTACGATCACAGGGAGCGTGGGTTAAGGTGCAGACCACATTCCATAGAAACTTGGGAAGGTAAAAATCAGCATGCCTCTGTCTCTTTCCTGACCGTCTGGCAGGCAGGGAATGTTGTGGGAAAGCATGGAGTGGGAAGTCTGGTCTCAGGGGGAAACACAGAAGAGTTCACGATACGTTTGCATTTGTCTGAGAGAGACAGAGGTTTCTGGTGCAGCTGTGGGACCAAGGTAACTTAATGAAGTGTCTCTCTCTGAATTTCCTTTTCTTTGCTGGAATGTCAGGCCAGGCCTATCTACAGGATACAGGCAGCCTTCTGGGGCCACACAGAGCAAAGGGGGTGGGTGGTCTGGTCTGGGGGAAAACACAGCACAGTCCAGCATAGCTTTAAAGTGGTTTAGGAGAGAGATGTCTAGTGCAGTTGCGGGTCCTGGGAAACTTTGAGCTCTGGTCAAGTGAAAAATTCTCTAAGTTGCAGATGTAAATAGTAGTATTCAGTAGGGACATTCAAAACCCAATTAGTCACAAGAAGACTGCAACAATCCCCTGCAGCAGCTGCAAACTGAACCATAAAACATTGTGGAAATCTTGTAACTATGGGCTCCCCCTACAGTTCCAAGTTGCACATACAAACTGAAAAGCAATGCAAAGCAACAATGGCTGTAATTGTTGCCAGAAACAGACCCACCCCAAGATGTAAACACATCAGAGCGAAGTTGTTAAGATGGGTTACCTACGGATATGGACAGTGAGAAGCACATGCAGAATGAAAAAGGAATGCATCACACCACTATCTTAACTTCCCCCAGCATAAACTGCATCCCAAACTGTAAACGCATTAGAAGTAACCTGTAATGATGGGTTTCACACAGATATGCATTGGTAAAAGCACAAACACATTAAAACTTTCAGCAAGTGATAATCAGATGAACACAAAACTCTTAAGAACAACTTTTGCACCACACGCTGAGCTTGGCATGTGCCATCATGTAAGGTAAAGGAAGTATTGCTTCACATGACATATAGTAACTCCTCACTTAAAGTTGTCCCGGTTAACATTGTTTCATTGCTGATCTATTAGGGAACAAGCTCATTTAAAGTTGCGCAATGCTCCCTTATAGCGTCGTTTGGCAGCTGCCTGCTTTGTCCACTGCTTGCAGGATTCTCTGGAAGAGCAGCCCCTCCTCGTGGAGATTAGAACCGGAGGTCCTCTTACTCCAGGACCTCAACCAAGCTTCACAATCATTCATTGCTGTGTACAATATTAAACTGTTTGTTTAAAATTGTTTAAAACTTATACTGTATATGTATATAATGTCTTTTGTCCAGTGAAAAAAATTTCCCTGGAACCTAACCCCCCCATTTACATTAATTCTTATGGGGAAATTGGATTTGCTTAACATCGTTTTGCATAAAGTCACATTTTTCAGGAACATAACATTGTAGTTAAGAGAAGAGTTACTGTACAGTCAACTTGTGGAACTCTTTTCCAGAGGATGTTATAAAGGCCAAGACTATAACAGGGTTCAAAAAAGAACTAGATAAGTTCATGGAGGATAGGTCTATCAGTGGCTATTAGCCAGGATGGGCAGGGATGCAAAACCATGCTCTGAGGTATCCCTAGCCTCTGTTTGCCAGAAGCTGGAAATGGGCAACAGGGGATGGATCACTTGATGATTACCTGTTCTGTTCATTCCCTCTGAAGCACCTGGCATTGGCCACTGTCAGAAGACAGGATACTGGGCTAGATAGATCCAGTATGGCCGTTCTTTTGTTAAAGCAGCTTCACAGGAAGGCTATAAAGGTAGCCCGTAGCAGCAGCAAAAGTTCCATGTCATCCTTTGTCTCCCTGCGCTGCCAGGATGTATGCACACATGGCATCCCTATTTTCCCTTGCATGCCTGGACCTAGTATTAGTATGCACATGTGTAGGATCCTGCTGACTGTACAGAGTTTGCAAACCAGAAGCATCCTGAGTTCACTTGGTGCAGAAATATGTGCCTTTAGCCTCGTAACTGTGGTGCAGTGTGAAGCAGGCCACACTGGCATCCAGGCAGATTCATAGACAGAACCAATGAGCCTTCAGCCTATCAAATGCTCACTCCATGACCATCCTGCAGCTACAAAGCTTTAAATTTAATTTCTTTTTCTCCAGGACTCCTGATGTCAGGGTACAGTTTCATGAATCCTAGCAGGAGTGGTATGTGGGGTTCCCCCAAAACCAACAAGTGGCACAGATACACCGCTTATAACAATATCATTTCTTGGGAATAAAGTCCCCGTTTCCCCCTTAAAGTACAAGAGAGATCTCAGCACCCTAGCATCATGAAACTTTCCTGAGTTTTCCACAGGTTAGTAATAACCTGCCTCTGTAGTACACCAAGCCTTGCATAATGATGGAATAGTAACCTTTGTGGTTCGCATATTCACTTGTTCCTTGTGGCAAACAAACAATGGACACATGAGTGCTATTAATGGCCTCAATGCAGTTTGTGGACCGCATCCTTTGAAAACTAGCTATTATTTCTGGATCGTTTCTTATGCCAACCACCAATGGGTAAATCACCTCACAAACCTCGCAGTGAACTTTCCAACTCCAATGGACATGTAGCCGTCTGGGACAGCCAACTTCCACAGGGCAGTAACAACCTGCTTCTGTACCAATATGGCTTCCCTCAATCAAGTGTCCTGGTGCTGGAGGGTAGTGCAAGATTCTCACATAGCTCCATAAAGGTCTGTTTCCTCATGTTGAAGCACTGGAGTCACTGCTGCTGCTCCCAAGGCTGCAGGATGATGCGATCCCATCACACTGTGCTATTTCTCCTGCACCAGAAATGATGGTACACCAAAGGCAATAGTGGCATTCAGCATATCTGTCCACTGTGCCAAAAATGAATTGTTATTGCAAGCGTCTGTCTTTGATTTCAGCAAAAAATAATGCTGAAATGCCATCCAGCATCTTGCCAAGCACTTACTCCACTGCATAAACATTTGTCCTGCAATAAGGAATAGGAACAGCTCATCCAATAGATCCATGACTACAACCCAGTTTTGCAGAAACAGAAGTGAGGACAACATGATCCAGAAATGTCATCAGCATATGTGTGAAGGCAAGGCAGAAATGTGTTCCACATATGGGTCCAAGAAGGACTGCAACATAGTACCAACAACACACCAAAAACTGGTTCCTACAGTGTCTCCATGTGATTCCAAGAACCCTGGCATACCGTCCCTGAAATAGTAGCACTTAACTTGTGTACCAAGACAACAGTGTGGATGCACATGGGTACACAGCATTATATGCATGTCTAGCAGAGCAAATGTAGGGGTGGGTTTTGGGGTGGGTTTGGCTGGCTCAAGCCCGCATGGACACAACCCGTACTAGGGTATGCACACCAGTGCAGACATAACCTTAGTCTGCCCCAATCATAGCATCCTATTTTTAGGTTTGCTCTAAAATCTTATTTTTAAGAATTTCTAAGGCAACACACATGCTAACCACAGATGCTTCCTGGGTTACGCGAGACCCAACTTACGCAAATTCACACTTACAGAAAAAGTTCCATAAGCCAGAAATAGGATTTTCAAGTTGCGGAAATATTTGCGTAACGTACGGGTATACGTTTCCGACTTACACAAAATTCGAGTTACGCAAGGCTTTCCGGAACGGAACAATTGCGTAAGTCAGGGGGCGTCTGTACTCAAAATCGCTATCTGACAAAATACTCCATATTACAGGTTTTGTTTTTTCTGCTACCTTAATTATTTGAGTAAGAGTTTCAGACAAGCAAGAATACTTTATTTTTAAAGTACTTTGTACTCTCCAGCAAAGTCATCATAGAAATGTTCAGCCAAATAAATGATAAACTACAGTCTCAAGTGCAACTGAATAACTGCTGGCATATAGACTGATGTTGACATTGTCTCCCTCTCACTGATTATTCATCTATACAACTCTTGTATTCAAAGCAACAATCACTGCAGAGTATTACAAATGGGTCATTTGCATTCTCTATAATAATGAAAAAGCTTTTGGAATCCCTCCACCTTCCACTTCCTAGCCTGAACAACAAACATCAGCAGCCACCTGTCTGACATTTAGTTAATTTTATACAGAGTTTTTAGGAAGCAGCTATCCATCCAGACTAGGAGTCCTGAAGATAAAAAAAGGAAATAGCAAAACCCCACTCCTTTATAACTAAGTAGCAACATTTTCATCTAATCTAGTCCAACACCCCCCCCCCCCCCACCCAGCAGCAGCAAATCAGGCAAAACATCTCTCTCTCTCCCGCCAATTCACCACCTTCACAATTCTTCCCTTTGAAGAAGGCGAGGGAGGGGGGAGGGGGAGAGAAAGACTGGCTTTGCAGCACACCTCGAAGGTCAGATTTTATAGGATTTTTTTTAAGCAACAGGTTGATTAGGTTTAATTTTTTTTCTGAAGTGCTCAATTACCACACTGATCAGTACAACATCTGATTTTAACCTTAAAAATACAATTTGCTAAAATGATTATACATTTGCTAATTAGGATATTAGGAGCTCAAATCAGAGTTGTTTATCTTCATGTCAGTTAATGTCCAAGATTTCCTTGGCTTGTATGTCAGCATGTCAACTAATTTAATTTCATGTGATGAAAGTAAAGGTGTCCTAGAATTCCTTTATTCTGAAAAGTGTGATTACACAGCAAGTTTCCCAATGTTATGGATTAAAGATGTTTGGTCAATTAGACATCTAAGTTACTGAAGTTAAATGGTTTATAGTCCATAAATGAAGTTTTCCCACAATCATGCAATACAACTGTGTGGAAGTTTGTTTAAAGCTCTCGAAGAGAGAAAGATAAACACTACAGAATTTAGCGGATGGACCCAATGCTGGAGCAGCCCAATGGCAGTGGAGATCACTCACCAATTCACAGGATTGGGACCAATATAATTCTATGCTCAATCTTACCACTGTATTTTACAAGTTTTTGCTATTCAGATGGTGATTTTGCAAGGGCACCAAACTACTATTTGGTACTCTGGACATCACTGTCATGCCTTGATCCTAGAGCTGGTTCAAACCCCAGGAAATAACCTTTCATTACCAAAAGAAGGTTCATCCTGTAAAATAGGGAATTTAAAATTGTCTATACCATTTTTGGCAAGGGCAAAATCTACACATGCCAGTGCCTGTCTAAGTGGGAGAGAAAAATGTCTTAAAAACACTGTTGAAAATATAATTTTAAGCTTCATAGTTACAGCAAAAAATCTTCAGCTAACAAATAAACTCAATGTCTTAAAAATCAATGGTATTTTATTTATGTTTAGTTCTAACACTATTAGTCTGCTTTCCTCAGCATCAATATTCACTTCAAAATTCAATTTAAAAATAATGCCCTCTTTCTGCAATGTAACCCAGCACGTCTTTGGAATTGAACACCATGTACCGAACATTTCTGGTTCAGGTTGATAAGAATTCTAATACTCTGAGGAGGAGCAGTAGAAAATTGCTCAGTGTCTCTCACAAAGTTGCACAAAACCAGAAGAATTCACATTTGAAACTCAAATGAGCCTTGTTAAATAAGAGAGAAGACAGGCATAATGCCTGCAAGTCAATTTGTGACATATTAACAGTGGCATACCACTGAAACACTTTTTTTGTTTCCAAGCAGATAGAGTGTAATTAGGATTACAGAGCCTTAACCAACAGAGCACCCATGAACAAGAGAGAATTGTTAAATCAATGTAAATTTAAGAAGTGTCTTTCTACTCTCTGCAGTTACAAAAGCACCTGATAGGCACGATGCTGCAAACTGTGACACATCTACAAAACTCTTCTGACAAGTGATTGGTATTATATGCGAACATAATCAAATAATTTGAAACGTACCTTGTTCTATACAACTCTGGGCAAGAGCGAAGAGCTCAGGTGATCGCTCCTCTAGCAACTGCTGGTGAATATTCACATATCGCAAAGTCCACCAAGGCAATGTCTAAAATGGAGAATAAGAATATTTTAAATGAATGATAAATACAACTGATTTTCTTTTATAAACAGATTTTAAAAATATAACTTCAAAAACACAAATACAGTTGCTTTATAAAAATTCAATACCAAATCTGATCTACTTGAGATTACATTAAGGTAGGAAGTTTCCTAAAGTGTAGATTCAAATTATATCAAGGTTAAATAAATCTTGAAAGAGTCAAAAGAAAAAAAACAACAACAAAAATCTTACTATATAGATGGGTGCTCAGTCACTTAACAGTTAATAATTTTCCCCTCTTGTATTCCCCCTCAGATGATGGCTTCAATCAACAATGCTCCTTTCCAAACATCCTCTCCTTTCTTCTAAAAAGGGGAGTCCTAAAAGTCTGAAGTTGTCTCACAAATAAGACAATTATCACTGTATCTTTATGACAAAGTTTCTAGTTCAATACAAATGCCACACAGCTTTTTGATATAATATGGAGAAAAGGTGTCACCCAATAAAAAGGGAGAATTCAATTAGTTGTGATTTGAATTCCCTACAGCCTTGCCTCTCTTTCTCCTTGCTATTTTAAGGGTTACAGTTTAAAATTTCAACCATTTGTCTCTTCGGACGCAGCTCTGCACCAACGGGTTGAAGACTGGCAGTGAAGGTTTTTCTTCTTCTACATGTTAGAATTTAAAGCACACCTTGTCAAGATATCTATTCCTTGACTCAAGGAACATGCACATCTCACCACAACATATGTAAAGGAACTGTCAGATTCAGACATTTTAGGATTTCATATTAAGATCATTCTGAGCACACTCAACAAAAGACAAGCTAATTTAATAAGGCTGAAAGTACAGTTTAGTATTTATAAATAGATAACCATTAATATACTGAAGGGAGATAAAGGAATTCTATCCTGAGGCTGTCCAGTAACAGAAAACCATGTGTACTTCTTTCTACACTGCAACAAATAAACCACATTCTAATCTTTGTAGCCTATCCTGAGAGTAATCAAATCCAGGCTCTGGCAGGCCAACGTGAGTCAGAAAATCCAATCTACATCAAACACAGGGGCTAGATCTCAGTCCTACATCTGGCTTGTATCTGAACAACTTTGTCTTATCTACTCTACACATATTGGCTGCAGTTACATTTACACCAAAAAAGACTGAGGCTTCAATACATTCCTATGAAGGAGAGATGAGAGCCAGCATGTGACACGTTTTCACATGCGTATCACAACATACTCATCCAGAGCACTAAATGCCACAATAACTATGTGGGTGAAACCAGAAAAGTCACTAGCTCTTGAATGAACTCTCACAGGAAAAGAAGAAGAAAAAAACCACACCACCTGTGAGTGAACACTTTTCCCAAAGTGATCACTCTAGATCTGACCTATCATTTCCTCATCCTCAGAGGAAACCTATGCAACACTTTCAAAAGACAAGCATGGGAATTTAAATTCATAAATCATGGTCTTAATAAAGACACTGGATTTAGGGTTTATAACAACAATAATCTGTAACTTGTTTTTTGTTTTATTGGGGAGGGGTGTTAATCGGCCACATCACCTTGAATGGGGGAGGAGCAGCCGTGTTAGTCTGTATCTACAAAAACAACAAGGAGTCTGGTGGCACCTTAAAGACTAACAGATTTATTTGGGCATAAGCTTTCGTGAGTAAAAACCTCACTTCTTCAGATGCATAGAGTTTCTGAAGTTTTTTTGTTCAATGATAGTGACTTTTAAATCTGTAATAGAATGACCAGGGAGATTGAAGTGTTCACTTACTGGCTTATGTATGTTACCATTCCTGATGTCCGATTTGTGTCCATTTATTCTTTTGCGGAGGGACTTCAGAAACAGACTTCAAAGAGAAACAGCAGAACTAAAATTCATTTGCAAATTCAACACCATTAATCTGGGCTTGAAT